CTCTCTCTCTCTCTCTCTCTCTCTCTCTCTCTCTCTCCCTCTCTCTCTCTCTGTCTCTCTTTAAATCGCTGTTATTAGCGGTTCCCTGTTACTGTTATTACTGGGCCTGATATGGTTTCCACTGTAATTCTTTTACAATGAATGATGTCAACCATTGTGAAACTCCATGAGATAACTTCTCAGTCGTGACTTTTTGAAATTCTTTTCTTTTTCCAGTTCCTTTGATCGGTGTCAACTTAGCAACAATCATTTTAAAATTGCTCTTTGGATGACGACAATGAAAGTTCAGATCTGGATGCTAGAGGGGTCATCACATAGTTTGAATCTTTGAACTGTGCCTGGAAGGAAGTGAACTGTAAATGTGGATGAAATGAGTGACAGAAAGAACTGGTATTTGTAGAAAGTTGTATGAACAACATGTAAATCTGTTACTAGTGTTACCAGTATATGAGACTGTTGAGAATGATGTTTTGTGCATGCTTGTGTATGTTTATGATCTAGAGATCTATATATTTGTACCTTGCAATATCACATTTTAGAGCAATTTTCTCCGCTGCAAGAAGGGATTATTAGGTCATTTTATTGAGATAGTATCTAGAATATTATTTCAATAAACTGTTGCTATTTCCCATTAATGTTGTTGAAGAATGTTTTAATTTTTTTTTCTTTCCTGGAAGTCTTTTTGTTTTGTGGCAATGATGGGGGTGGACAAGTAAAGTTTCTTTAACTGTATGAAAATACCTGTAATTATAATAATATAAATCAGAAATTTAAGATGATCATAATTGTAAAATGATCTGCCAGGTTCACTTCCTTTAAAAGTGAGTTTGAACAGTTGATAGATTTATTTTTTGAAAAGTGATTAGAAAGCACCTGTCTTTTATGTGCTTCTCAGGACAGCAGGAGGGCTTCCTAAAGGGCTGTTTGTCTTATGTAGGGCCGGGGGGTTCTTTTGCAGGAGGAGGGGGTGCTACTAACCTCTATGAAGCTTTCTAATCTAAGAATCATTTTGTTTGTGACATCCCTGAAACTATTATGTATTGCTTGGCCTTTGTTGACAATATTCGATGCTCGTGTGTACATTATGTTTGTTTCTCTTCAAAATGAAATCTTACTTGCATTCATGTGAATAAATCATATTCATTTACATTGTGAATTGTATTTTCTGCTTTTTTGTCAAATGGTGAAGATGAAGAGTGGCTGCTCTGAAGTCGTAATGTAATGTGAATCATTTTGATAACAATCCTTGTGCAATCTTTGTTATTAAATGGTCTCTAGTTCCTTTTACCATAGCCCTATTTAGCAACCCCAAACCTTTATGGTAGACTTGTCTCTTAACCCTCCTTTTGCAGCAAGTTGGAGTGCTTTTTATCAATTATTATAATAAATTCACACCTAGGTTTTGTGGCTGTTTTTGACACAGCACCAAGTCTAAACTGGTTGCTGTATGAAAGTTTTTGGGGAAAACTCATTTTGTTTTGTATTGAGTCATCAGGCCAAAGAGATCGAACTCGGATGGCCGCTGAATAAAGTAAAGCAAGTTATACCCAATAATGGGTCTATACAATTCACAACTTCCTCTTTTAAACTTGTTAAAACTTGAAAGGGAGCAAACTCTTAAGATTTAGTTTCAGTTTGGGGCTCTACACATGTACGTTACAACCAGGCGGTTTCAACCGGAGTGGGAACCGGCGTTTAAACACCGTGCAAAACTGCCGTTCGATGGGTTGGCACATCATTCACATCACGTGTGGTTTAAGCGCAGCAAGTGTACCGACAATGACGATTTGCTTGCAATTTATGTGCTGCTGGTGGTGAAGAAAAACAAAAACAGAAAGATGTGAATAAAAGACGCTTCAAAAAAGAGATCACTTGAGCCGTAGATCAAATGCGGGAATTACGGCCTTCCTGATGATTTCAGTATTTCTTTAAAAAACGATTGTGCATGTGCAAGTTGCTTAGAGGGGGGTGGGGGACCTGTTAGCATGTGTATGTTGGTCAAGAACAATTTTAGCATTTTTGTGTATGGCTCTGTTTTTATTTCTGTGTGGGTGAGAGAGAGAGACAGATATAACACAATAACAGACTTGAAAAGTACCAGTACCAGTACCACAGCTTGGGCTGATATACTTCATCCGACTCAACACTGGACAACTGGCTTCTCAGTCCTTGTTTGCGCCAGGTTCAAAGCTTCTTACAAAATCGACCAGATTCTTTTTGGTAGATCTATTCCCGTTCCTTCTCCAAATGAATTGAATAGTCTTTGGATTTTATTTTCCAAAAGCTGTCATGAAATCTGTAAATTTCGATGAATTGAAGAATTTTTTCTTGTGACCATGTTGTCATTTATTTGCAGTATGTTTACCTGTTTAGCTTGTGCAAACAATCACGTGTGTTCTTAAGATCTACTGCACATCGTGACAGAGAGACCAATCCTGTATTGACGCCCTTCGCCTTAAGTGAATGCATGTACAGTGGAATCCTGTTATAACGAGAGGGAGGGGACCGGTGCGAAATGTCCGTTATACCAGGATTCTCGTTATAATTATAAGGAATCCAGTAATAAATTGAATGGAAATAATGAAGTAGGCCTAATCTATCAGTTTGGTGTTGTTTATTTCTTTTTGTCATCTCCCCTGATGATGACATTGTTCAACATGACCTCTAGGTCTTACTTGATCAAAAATCAAATCAGGTTTCTTTCTCAAGCGCTAGCGATGTTGACAGCACGGCGTTGGCGATCAGAAAGAATGCGCTCTGGGCTAACTCGCCCTCTGTGTTGTCCCCCACCCCACCACACACCGTGGTGTGTTTCGTCTGCTTGCGCACGTTACTACACATTAACTCCATCCATCACAACATTGTGACCTCTCCATCCTCGCATCGGAGAAGAGAAGGCATGGGTAGTGGTAGGCCTAGATAATCTAGACTAGGCTGGCCTATCACACGATGCGTTCTGCTTGTCTGCGCTTACCACACCCTTCCCACTGATTCGCTCTGACCATTGTTGACAAACGTGGGCTCTCCTATTCTTTGTTTCGCTCAAGGAGTTGATGTGAGATCCTAAGTTTCGCTAGATCACCTACAAGTTTCTCAACTGGCGAGGTTTATATATGTATAACTGGCCTGTGCGCTGTGCACAGCAGCAGCAGCAATATTCCGCTATAACCGACTCCCCTGGTTGTCCGATAGCGCTATAGCAGTATTTTATTTACAAAGATAAAGAAGGAAAAAAAACGGGGTTTTAGAACAGTGTCTTTATAAAAGACTTCTCTTTGTTTTAGGACTCGTTATAAGTGGATTCCACTGTATTTTACATGTATGTAATGTATGTGGAATTTTGTTTTCTCTTTTATTATAAATTGAAAAAAGGCTAATTTTGCTCAGATCTTGCATAAAATGTCAAAAATTTAATCAGATTTTATATGCAGCAAGTCATTTTGAAGATATTTGCAGTAACAAGATAAGCTGACAAAGTTGGTGACGTTGCACAAAGGCTGTCATCGGCGGAACGCGCTGAGCTATAGTCAGAAAATCCAACATGTAGAAACCATCACTTCGGCCTCCACATTTAATTTTTACAATCAGTTATTCATCCACGTCTGTAGTTCTGCCGCCAGGTTTGCCTTTCCATTCCAAACCGACAATTTGGAATGTACATGTGTTGGGCCTCTTGGAACCCCATATTATTATTACAGGTAAACCTTGTTTAACATGTAGGCCCTACCGCCACCCTTGGCATGAGAATGAGCATAAAGTTGGTGATAAATAAAGCAGAGCTGGCAGTGTAACAGATGATAATACTGGCTTCTGAAGTGAAAAATAGCCCTGACTTCCCAATGTCAAGGGAAATGATTCTGTTGTGTGATTCGTGATCTGTTGATAAGTGAATTACATGAACATGACTCTTTCTGCAGCCTTTCTACAGCTACTCCTTGGCTCCTTACTGCTGTCTTTCAATCACACCATTCTGGTAGGAAAGACCTACACCTCTTCTCTGTCAAGGGCTAAAAATCTCGGAGGTTCCGTTTGCAAGTTGCGCAAGTGACCATATTTTACTTACAATGGCTTATTATGACAAAAGCTCAGGGGATCATCTGCAAGGATCAAATAAATGGCAGCCAAGTAGAATCGGTCAAAAACAATGTCTTATTAACACTGAGCTAACACAGTTTAACAAACAATGAAGTGAAAAGCGTAATCAGTTTATTCAAAGACCACTAATTCAAAACATGGAATATAATATATTTCGGGGGGCCAGATTTGCCAAAACAAAGTTGTCAAATTATGAGTTTTTCTTTGGACTTTGTGCTTCCACAAGACTATCCAATTGAGAACGACCAATATGTACGGTACTGGTGACAATTTCATCTCATTTGAAGTTTTCTTAAAACTTTCTTGAATTGCAATCTTTCTAATTTCAAACAATCTCCAAGACATAGAGATTGGACCAAAGAAATCATTATGTCTACTGCTTTTACCAAATTTAAACATGGTATACATTATAACTTCAGAATGTACATCAACAGGAAAAATTATTCCTATTACAAATCCACCTCTAATCAATAACAGCATTTGTTTACTGTATTACTGTTAATATTTAGGAAAAAATGTTTGTAAAATATGCAAAAATGCTGCTGCTTTCAATTCAAAGGAAGAATCAAAGCAAATTAACCAAAGTATGATGCTGACTGTAAGCTCCTTCGTAAAAGTAAAATTGGTGACATCTTTGTCCTAGTTATCGGTCAAACACATTTTAAACTTAAGTTAAACTTTCAAATTAAGGCCTACAACAGAGATGATACCAAAAAAAGCCTCACAATAAATAGTGAGCAAGTCTTACAAAAATTGTCACTAGTTAAACATAAACTAAAACTAAAACTATAAACACTAATAATAAATTATATAAGAAGACATTATTACAACACAATATAATGGATTGCTCAAGATGTAAAAGTGCAAAGCTGGTAGCAGACTACTTTTAATTTTCCAAGAAATTAGAACATGTCAGAGATTTACAGAAAAGCATGTCATACTTTCCAAAAGACGTGTTATCAACTTGATGAAGGGGGTAATCGTTAAATTCCCATTTAAAGAATCATCCAACAAACCATGAAAGAGAACATCACATCATATCATTTATAATTCTAGTACAGTGTACTCATATTAAATGTTGAGAATCAGAACTGGCATTTAGATCAGTTTGCAAATAGGAGAAATGACATCCCATAATTAGTGGAAGTAATATCAATATTACAAGGATTTGAAAAAATATATACGCAGTACTTTGAATCAATGAATTGTGCAAGCTTTGTATTACGCTGGATTCTCATGTCGAGAAATTTCAGACTCTTCCCCTTGGTCCAACTCCGCTTGGTCGACCCCTTCCTCTTGGGCAGCCTCTTCTACTTGGGCGAGCTCTTCTACTTGGGCGGGCTCCTCAACTTGAACAGGCTCTTCCCCAACACCGTCTTCCTGAAGCTCCCGTCTTGCTGGGTCTAGGATGTCACTTTCATCAATTTCAAGCTCTTCCATCTCAATGTTGACGGCCTGTGGAAACCAAGATAATTTTTAATGAATTTGAAGTGGAAAAATAGTAATTAATAGTAAATGAATTCATGCCCCTAAAGTACCCACATCGGTGATGTAGTAGTTAGATTCGTCACTGTTGCACATAGGAGACCCGAGTTCCATTCCTGAGTCGTTAGAATTCTTATCGAGCATCTTGGTCTTTCTGATGGGATGTTGTATCTCTGTCACCCTGGGTTGGCCCTGACACTGTACTGACAGGAAGGGTCAGATGCCCGCCCCCGCCTCCTATATGATCAAAATGGGGACGTAAAGCAACAAATAGATATAGGAAAAAAAACCCCATTAAAATGCCTTTAACTTTAAGAACCCCTACTACTGAAACCTCCCTTTTTTTCTTTTTTTTTTTTTGGTAAGTGTTTTACTCCGCTCGCAACTGCATAAGGTCATCATAATGTCAAGTGCGCGGGACACATTAAACTTTTTCAGTTGGTAGGAAATTTTGAATTTTGTCCGGATGGCAGCTGAAGCCTAGATCTACTCTTATCGATTTTAGACCAGCCTTTTGTATTTGATTGGCGATGATTTAAACTTTCCGTAGTCGGCCATGATGCTATCAGTCATCAATAAGGTCAAATTCAAGGTATCCATTACTTCACTTAAAATTGTCTTTGAGCACTTTCTATGGCTCTATGACTTGTGATTTTAGACCACCAAGGGATCTTTAACATGTGCAACTTGCACACGGGCCCTCCGAGATTTTTCGCCCTTGTCCGAAAAGGCTAGGTACAGATCTTTCCTTCCAGAAGATTAGGGATGTGGCTGAGAGACAGCAGTAAGAAAGAGCCAAGGAGTAGCAGTAGAAAGGCTGCAGAAAGAGTTAAGAGCCCAGAGGAGGGGGCAAGGGAGGTGAGGAGGAGGGGGCAAAGGAGATGAGGGGGTGGGGGCAAAAATCAGAGGACAGAACATTGTTAGAGAGCAGGAAAGGAGGTGAAAAGAGACAATTTTAGAGAATAAAATTTTTCGGGTCTACCCGGATTCAAATCCGGGACCTTTGAATGAGAGGCCAACGCCTTAATCTCTAGGCCACGAGAGCCCCCTTGAAACCTCCACCTTCACTCATAATGTATAGTTTTAAAAAGAAGATTATGCAGCATTAATGCCACAGAGGATAGCATATCAGATAATAAATTACATAATTTTGTTTTCTGTGTCATTGCCAAGATAACCAGCAACATAAATTTTTCAAAAACCTCTATTGTCTACAACTATTTGTTCAGCATGGACAGAGTATCCTTTTGCATACTTCAGTCTGTAACAGTAATAGTATGAGCAGAGCTTTCTTGAGAGAACTCACTATTAGATGTAAGAATGTTCAAAGAAGAATACCGTAGCCTCAAGGCCATCAAAGCAGTGGGGATTTGAAGCTCATAAAAGCACAAACTGTTAACTGTAAATTGTAAAGTAACCAACAAAATATTAGAAACAGTCAGGGTTGCACGCTTATAATAATAATAACAATTGCAATTATATATAGTGCACATCCATGCTCTACTGCATGCTCTACCTGTCCCCGTGGTTTTATGCATCCCGCATAATTTAGCAAAACTTGATCCTTTTTTGCATAATTTCTGAGTATTTTCCTTTATTATGCTTTGTTAAAATTAACAGAATCGCTTAATTTCCCATTTTTGGGCTCAGTTTGCATAATTGAATTTTTCTTGCATAAAACGATGGGGACAGCTCTATGCGCTTTACAACTATCAATTATTACCTCAGCAGACAAAGAACACTCAAACATTCTCGGCTTCCCAGGAAGCATACAGTGCAAGCTGCAGATTGCATTCGCTCAAACACTATAGGCAGGTACCCATTCCCGCCATGGTGAAATGAGCAAAATTCGCGCAAAGTGCCTTTGCCAAAAACACAATGTCTAGCCCTTGATGGAATTCGAACCTAGCACCTTACAGTTTGAGTATGAGAGCCTAACCATTTGGCCATCAATGCTATGCTTCTAAAGATGTGTATGGTCACAATAAAAGATTTACAACAAAATAAAAAGGGCCAGAATATGGGATTTATACCAATATCTTCAGCAGGAAGATCCACTTAAAACTAAAAAAGGTTCTACATTAAATATGTCATACATTGACAGAAAGAACTTCTAAACTTCCAACAAAGTGAATCTCCTTGTAAAACAGCCCTTTTAGTTCTACCACTTAACACTTAGAGCGGCAGAGTCTATCAATTCGCACCTAGAGCTGCATTACGCAAAGTTTCAATCGCCGAACGTGCAACACTGCCATGGTACGCATTTTTGGGGTCTAGGAAGAATGTATGATTAGAATTTACTGAAAACGAGGATACAGAATTTTTCTTCTTTCTTTGAGCTTTTGAATGGTCGAAATTGTCCCAGAAATAGTGCCTATTTTAAGTAATTACGACGAAAAGTGGGGTGCGATGGAGTTGGAACTTGGACAAATCCACAGAAACTTTGAAAACATAAAAATTTAGCCCATAAAGCACTCTCAACCAAACAAAAATACGTTGAAAATTAATTTCTCTGTTTATCATAATGTGGTATTTTTATGTCACAAAATGGGTTGGTTGATTTTTAAATTGACTAAATAGACCGATAACAAATTAAAACCCAACAGTCACAACTATTATGGGAAAATAAATGACTTGCCTATACAGTACCGCAATGCAAACTGGCTATTTGCAAGCAATATTTCCAAATATATGTGCGCGCCTAGAGAAAGGTACCAAAAGTCGCCCCAGACCATTTCGAGCTACAGGCTAATAATGACAAAAATCACTTTTTTAACCAAAATGTGTTTCCATTAAAAAATGATCGATCCAATATTATTTTACAATGTGCTCAAAGGGTTTACATTGAATTGACTTCTAAATGTTTTATTTTGAAAAGTTTTTGGGGAAAGGTGTATAATACGAACAAATAATGAAAACTGCTTTTAAAAGGCTTTAAAATCTATTGTTGAAGCATGTTTTCTCTTCCCTGATATGTTTTGCCATTGAATTCCATTCATGATATCGATGTCAACAGAATGCCAAATTGGAAATGAGTGAGTTTTCCATGAATAAATACATTTTAAAAATCTTTTTTTTTTAAGTTTGTATGTGTTCTCACGTTGGTTTAACTTATAGCTCAGTTTCTCAAAATTATATACCCTACCTCGTAAAATGTGCAACATCTCAAAAACTACTTGAGACCTCTAAAAAAAACAAAAAAACTTATTGGCGCTCACATGACCTTATGCAGTTGCGAGCGCCGTAAAACCCTCTACTATAAAAAAAATACTTTTTTTTTTAAATTAAAAAACCCCTGTATTCACTGTCAGCACTGAATTTTCTATCAGGTACAACCCTTAATTCAAAATGGTCAAAATCCGACTTTTGGTACCTTTCTTTAGGCACACACATGTATATAGTTTTGCATTTTCCCCCAGATCATTTTGTAAAGAAATTTCTTTTTATGAACTTTTTAAAAAATGTATGCTTTTTTAATATAATCATTTCCCTTTTCCAGGATTTTGGAGCATGCATCGGGAAAATCCCCAGGAATTAAATGGTTAAGAGCATGTGCTGGTAAAAAAATGTCAAGTTCACAAATAACTGTCTTAGGGTATGTTTTAGTGCTAATTGGGTCATTGATACGATCCAAAAAAAAGAGTGGGGGGGGCGGGGGAGTTATGGATTTTTTAAAATTAAAATGTCCGAAATTAGTGGTCATTCAGGATTTTTTTTAGTTTTACCTTTTTGCCCAAGGCTTTCTTGTTTTGTAACCACATGAGTTGAAACTTTGCAGGTAAACACTACAAGGTACCAGTATGATAAAGCTTTGTGTAGAAAATCTTTTTGATTGAATAATTTTCTTGATTTTAATGACCTGAGGAGTAATCTTGCCAAATTCCAGCTGTCAAAAAAATTGTCAGTTCAACTCATTTGTCCAGAAAATTAAAAAAACTCCACTCCAGGCAAAAACTAACACTATCTGGTATTGAAAAACCCAAAAAGGTCACGAATTTTATTATTTTTTTGGCTTGCGTAAATCATTTTATGAGCCCCCAATTGTAAGCTTTCAGTTCAAAAACATACGGAACCCGATAACAAATATTTGGGAATTTTACCTTTTTTAATAGCCCATGACATTAAAAAAACAACTTTACTACATTTTTCACAGCTTAAAAAACACAACACCTACCAGCCACTCTGGAGACTCCACACTGTCAATAAGTTGTTGCAGCCTGACCTGAATGTACCTCACATTGGACCTGATCTTTTCCACCCCAGCATTTGAAGCATTCTGAAGGGACTGAAGCTGGAAAAGAACAGAACATGAATCTTTCAAATGTACAGTAGAATTCTAAACAATGTGTCTGTGATTTGAAAGAAGGCAGGCTATTGGGATCTCTGTCAGTACACAAAGGGGAAAGACATTCTCACTTCCATGGAGGAAAAAAAAATGGCTGTTGAAAATATACATTTTTCTCAAATTCGCCAATTACAAAAAGAAAGATCATTAGTACAACTGAACGTTTTATCTTTCAAAAGAGATATGAAGTTGGCACTTTCAAGTGAAAATAAAGGGAACATTACATTTTTTATTAGCAAGTCCCATGTTCTCAGAAGAAGTCCATTTTTTCTGTTTTCTTATTCCTACACTTAATAATAATAATGAAGATCATTTCTATAGCGCCCACTCCCGTGTAAACACAGCTCTAGGCGCTTTACATAAATGCATGTAAGAAAAATATTCATGCACGCGACACACACACACACACACACACTCACACACACACACTCATATACACACAAACACACACACATATACATATACACACACACAAACACACGCATACACACTCACGAACACATACACGCACACATGTATGCCAAACACACACAAACACACACTCACACACACACACACACACACACACACACACACACGTACACACAAACACACACACACACACACACACACACACACACATCTACTTGCTTATCACACGCACACGATTACACATCGTTATGAAATGAGAATAAAATAATATATACACTGCAATTCACAAAATACATAAATGGATACATAGACATTTACATAACATTGTACTGAACATGAATCGACTGACTTAAAAAGGATGTCATTAAATGTGTCTTTAAAGATTTTTTAAATTTAGACTCAGATGTTGTATGTCTCAAGGGTTGGGGAAGAGAGTTCCAAACTGACGGAGCAAGGTGGGCGAACGATCTTTCGGCTAATTTTTTACCGCCTTTTCTAGGAACTCGTAAAAGATACTGGTCGCCTGATCTTAGTGATCTAGATGGAACATAAATCTGGATGAGATCACAAAGATATGAGGGAGCTTTGTTATTGACACATTTATGACATAATATTGCAATTTTATATGACATTCTAGCTGACACGGGAAGCCAATGCAACGTTCTTAACATGGGAGTAATGTGGTCCCTCTTCTTTTTCTTTAGTACAAGCCTAGCAGCATGATTTTGAAAACGTTGTAACTTGTGAAGAGAGGTATTTGGTAAGTTAGCTAGTAAAGCATTACAATAATCGATGCATGAAAACAAGAAAGATGACACAAGCGTTTTCAACGAGTGTTCGTTCAAAAACATAGACATATGACCAATTCTACGCAATTCACAAAATAAAATGGTACATAAATAATTGATATGATGTTCCATTGACAATTTTGAATCAAAATACACTCCCAGATTTTTTGCTTTGTTAGTAAAATGCAGTGTTTCAATTTTCAAAATGATTAAGTATATTCTTTATGGGCAAGAGGATAGTAGTGCCCCAGGTCATTATTCAAAAAGATGATGGCGCAAAAAACATATTCTCCCATGGATACTTCAAAGAATTTATTACTCTTGATTAGATAGTAAAAGAAGAAAATTTGCATAAGATTTTGAAAACACTATGAGTATCTGAATCTGTTTTGTACAAGGCCAAGATGACTAAATAAATGTCTAGATAAAATATCACATTATACGTGAAAAGCAATTACTTACCGTAGCAAACTGAGCGACAAGTTCTTTGTATTCTTGTGACTTTGCAATAGGATGCCTAGCAAACTGACCAGCAGAATGGGAGACTCTCTCAAGAGTATGAAAGCCAGACCTAACTTGTTGAGTCAACATACGCCCAAGTACAACAATCCTCTCCTCCAGAGTCTAAAATTCAGAAAAGAATAAAAATATCAATGAAATGTATCCTTTCACACTAACCTTCCAAAACTAACAATATTTCAGAAAATCAAACAGCAATAACACAAAACCATGTGTCAGAGAAAAAACAAATTTTTCTAGACTTATGTCTACATAAAACTTCAAACAGCATGTCTTAATCGGAATTACAGTTCCTTATTTATGGAACCAAAAAAGCAACCTCATAAACAGTCATCCAACTTGATAAAAAGACATTCACAAAGCAAAAAGTACAGCAAATGCAAAAGCAAACCTCATGCTTACAAAAAGTGGGGTTGTGATTTTATCAAAACGGGTTTTCAACCTCGATTTCTAAGCTGGCAATATAAAGCTGGCTTTCCTTCTTTTCAATTCAATATGTATAACAGGACAATCGAGCACCTATCCCAAAAGAGGGTTGTGAATTGCACACTATGTAGAGTCTCTAAAGAAGAATACATCACAACTTGCATTTTCAATCAATGCCAGTACAAGGGTTGCAAAATGAGCTAAAACTGCTTTTCACCTCATATACCAAATTGGCCTTTTTAAAATAAATTTTGTTTTGCTTTCAAAGGGGGGCGGTGTCTGGTTCACAGCACAACAAAAATGAATATATGCAGCTTAGCAACATTAGGCTCCACAAACAAATCCGCTGTGAGTAATTTCCTAAAATAAATAATTCAGTAGTCACTAAAAAGGGGGAGGGGGGGGGAATAACAAGTCTCAAATCTGAGTTATTCATGGCCACACAAGAAAACCCAATTTCATTTTTTTAAAGAACGGCCTTGACGGTAAATCACTCTAATGTTGTTGTTTTTTTAAAGACCACTTACCCCTGCAAACAGTGTTCCATTTTGAGCATTGTCTCCTCCGTTGTCTCCATCCGCAGTCACTTTTTCCCACATTTCTTCAGCCTTGACTTTTGCATTTCCCAAGTTGCTCTTGGCATAATCAATCTGCAAGTAAAAATTATATTTTTCAAACAAATTTCATCACACATGATTTTTTTAAAATAGCAGCAGTCTGAAAACACAATTTCCTAACTACAACTAAATTTCCACAACATGCACTGGAAACTTCAAAGAACAGATGAATTAACAAGAAAAATTAAGTGGATTGGGTTACAGGAAACACATGCTTTTTTTTTCCAATAATTATTTCTAGCAGCGAAGATCCAAATAGATAAAAGACAAGAGTTAAGATTCTCAGGTCACAGTATCTGGTTCTATTCAGTCTGTGCAGGCATAACTTGAGGGTATTTTGGGGATTTCGTCTCACGCTTATCATACTCTTTATTCCAATTCCAGGGTAGGAGAAAAACTCAATAGTTCCAGAGTGCCAATTCTATCTATACATCTGAGACACCTTGAGGGCTTGCTCGCTAAAGTCAGTATTTCTCAAATTAATCTCAACCCAAACCTGAATAGACTGTGGTAAGCATAATTAAATTATGAGTCTCTCAAAATATGGCCTACGCCTGCAACAAAAGCCTATAGTTTACTTTAGCTGAAACCAAGGGAGAATACAAAAGAAAAAGGCCATAGTATAAAAACTAGAGAAACCCACCACTGCATGATGTATTCCCTTAAAAGTTCTGAAATCATAATTCTTCACTCATACATACACATGTAAGTCAAAGGTAAACAAAGTGAGAGTCATCCTGCATGAGCAAGTGAACTTCCCAAGAACGAAACTTTCAGACATGCCACACATGATAAGGATCCTGTATTCTACAAATAACACTTAAACTATATAATTAACAGATAATGACATCACTTTCACAGTAAAACAGATTTTAGAACTGCTCAAATATTTAAATAACTGAGTTTTCAAAAAGCTCAAAGGTACAAAAATCTTAAACGTGGATCTCAGTGTAAAGCTACTATAAAAAATTATGCATACTGAACCAACATATAAAATATACTGTAATCATTATGGTCAATTAAGGCTTTAATCGATAAACAACCATGTGCATCATTAAACACACTTACCAAATCAACAACTCCATGAAGTTTCCCCACTGCTTCAGCAGTACGAGCTTTAGCACCTTGGTAGTCTCTCATGGCCCGCTGGAAGAGACGGCGACGGAGCTTCTTACTGACAGTTCTGAAATGTACCTGAACTCTTTCTGGTGAGGGCTCCATTACTTCCATCTCTTGTACTTCGTTCTCTGACCCATTGTCTTGTGCATCTTCACTGCTCTCATCACTGTCGTCATCATCATCTGGAAAAGAACCCCAGATTCATCCTTTGGTCTGATCATACAAAAAGTTTCCAAAATAATGTACAAGTATTTATGCAGCTTTGACAACCAACCTATATTATATCAATAAAAATGAACACTAAAATAAAAAAAGAGAAGCAAAAAGACTAACGTAACCTTGAACTCAATAGTGAGACAGATCATGACAAATGTTAAAACATTATCTCTGAACACTTAACCTACTTTGCGTTAACACACTGCTGACATCACATCAACGTAATCTACTGATTACTTATAGTCATACTGTGACCTTCAAACTATACAGATAATATTCTAATCAAACAAGCATGACCTTGGCTCCTCTTCATGCCTTTTTTGTATGGCTTGGATATAACTCAAACACTCCAAACACGTAACTTCCCCAGAAAGTTCTGTAGTTCAAGTGAAAATTTAAAAAACAGAGCAAATTTACTTGTAGATTTCTTTTTTCTGTTTCACAGTGACATAAGCAGGCACATAGCTGCTAACATTCTAAAACTCAAAATAAAACGACCACTGTACTAATTTGCTCTCATATATTATTCTAATGTGCATCAGAAATGTGCAGTCCTGACATTTGGAATTGGAGTCCCCTTTTAGACAAAAAAAGATGTCATTTCAAAGACAAAGAACTTGTCAAAGGGTAAAGGAAATAATAATTTACATTTTATCTTAATTAAACAAAGATTCCCCAAACACTGGCCTACAGTAAACTGATGATCTTTGAAATTTGAGACTACAAAACCCTCAAAGCTTACAGTAGTCACCGCCTAAACGCACGGTGCTCGGGAGGGCTCCTTAGCGTGTGCTTATACGGAGCGTGCGTTTACATGAACCTATGCGAGGTGAGGAAGGAACGCAGTCATCACAATTCCTTATTACTACAGTGACCTCCCTTGGAGAGAGGAGGTCATTTTGGCAGATAATGTGACGACAAGTGACTTTTGCGATGGATTCCCCGACTGGGGTAAAGAATACATTGGGGGGGGGGGGGAGAGAAAGACAGACTCAATGTGGTAAATATGCGCTATAAACGTCGAAAACAGATAGCCTAAGAGGAAACTGTTGATGATAGTCATAGAGACGACGAACCGGCCACGTGGCTTTCCAAGCGACCAGCCCCGACCTTAAATTCATGCAGAATCATTCTTTCATTCACAGAAACTTTTCTCTTGTGATTAGTTGAACAAGTACATTATAAGTTCTTCGAGCGCAGCTGATTAGGCTTACTTGTCTAATCTTAAATCCTGTCTAGATCTAGTGCTTTACAGCATTTACGGGTGTCGCGCATCAGGCCTAGATCTAACAAAACATTTCATGCAGTCACTCAAACCCCAGTCAGAAACCTTCTCTCAGAGATACATTTCCAGTGACCAATCACAAAACATTTCACCCAGTCCCCCGTCCCAAATCCCCCCAGAACCATTAGCTCAATGTATCCCGCGTGACGCACACAGCCAGTGACCCGACACTTCACCCACTTTTCCCATTCTTCTACACAGAACGGATCTCGGACACCGCGCATAATAAATAGCGCGTCACATTCCACATTATGTACATATTGTATACCCTGCTCTACTTACCGACACTTGAAACTGCTGGTCACCTCAAAACTTGAAACTTTCCCCCCCCCCC